CACAGCTTCTTGTCTTTAGCTTTTCATCCAAAAGGAGAACTCTCTCAACTGTAGTTTTTTACCAGAGAGAAGTAAGTTTAGTAAAAAAAAAAAAAATTCACCTGCCGTAGTACAGTTTGTTAGAAAGCTAGTGTAGAGAGTTCGATTCTCACTGCGTGCGCCACGGATATCTAGTTGAGCCAATTTTATCTAAACTAATTTACATATTTTTCTGTTTGGACATTTTTGCTTTCTTGATAAACATTTACTACACTATAAGATCCGATTATCTATCTGTCCGTCTGTCTGTCTGTCTATCTATCTATCTACCTATCTATCTATGTAAGTTTCAACATAATTTTCTTTTTAATGTACCTACTCTTTAAATTCATCTCGTGCCTAAATCTCGCTACCTGTTCCCAACTATCACTCACGTGATCTTACTTCCTACCAAATTCATGGCCACCTTCTTCATTTTGAAAACTAACCTCATGTGCAATTGTCACCATAAAATTCATTAAATGCTTATCAACTCTTGAAGTGTCAAAACAAAACACAAACATGAACGTTAAGAAAAACTTCGCAAATCTCGCAGTGCTGAAATAGAAACAAAATTGTCCCAGGTATCAGAGGTCGGCGTTCGTGCTAAGGTAAAAATCAAGGGTGGAAAACTAAGGAACAATTTCTGCTTACTTGGATAAGTGTTACAACACAATGTTCCGACGACCTTTTTCTTTGCATTATTCTAACCACAACTTAGTAACTTACCAATTATATATATATATATATATATATATATATATATATATGAGTGTTGTTTAAAAGGTCTCTGTCCGACAAAAATGGGATTCCAAAAAGTGTCTCTTGCCTGGGGACAAATTGTAGAATTGGTCTGGCCAAGAAGTTTTCATCACTCCTCATATATATATATATATATATATATATATATATATATATATATATGTGTGTGTGTGTGTGTGTGTATTGGTGTATCTAGGAAGCATATCTATGAGTATGTGTGTGCATATATATGTATGTGTGTGAGAGAGATAGAGCGAGAGAGAGAGAGTGTCTGTGTGTGGGTGTATGCGTGTGTTTCTATCTTTGAAATCATCAAAGCTTTAATTTGTCTTGTTTCCATCTTTTCTTTCAATATATTTTAATTCGCATTATTATCATTATTATTATTATTATTTTACTTGCACATAACCATTTAATCGAAATTTTCTTTCGTATAAAACGTGCACTTTGTTTTAATATAAATCTATTTCTTTTCTTCTTTTCTTTTTCCTCTTCTCTCCTTTTTTTCTTTCTTTTTGAGTTTCTCTCTCTTTGTTTCTACACAAGACATTCTCCCTCCTCTCTCCCATCCCTCGGCTTCTTCTCCCTCATATAGTGTTCTCTATTTCATATCAAATCTCCACCTTCTCCCTATCCTCTCTGACGTTTTACACTCCTCCTACTACTATCCGCTCTCTCTCTCTCTCTCACGCTCTCTCTCTCTCTTTCATTCTTTCTTTTTTTTTTTATTTTTCTTTATGTCTCCTTTCTACTTTTTCTCTCTGAATTTCTTCATCTTTCCTTGCATTTCTTTATAGCAGCCATTTTATACTTGAAATATAGATTCTTTCTTTCTTTCTTTCTTTCTTTCTACAAATATCACGCGATAGAAAATTCTATCTCTTCTCTTCTTCTTTCTTTATTTGTTAGTCTCTGTCCTCCTCTCTCTTTCTCTCCCCTCTGTGTGTTTATATTACATCTTTTCCTTCCTCCTCTCTTTTGTCCAATAACGTTATCAGCTTCCCTTTTCATCTCTCTCTCTCTCTCTCTCTCTCTCTCTCTCTCTGTGCCTCTCTCTCTATCTGTCTCTTTACGATTGCCTCTATTTCTATCTTCAATCTTTTTCCCCTCAGTTTTTTTCAAGTTAATATTTTAACTCTCTCCTTTATCCGCTCTTTATTCTCCCCCCCTCTCCCTCCCTCCCTCTCTCTCCCTTTCTCTCCCTTCCTCTCTCTCATCTATTTCTGCCTTTACTGTTTCTCTACTGCATCTCAGTTATCCTCATTCATCTTGTTTTCCCACCCTCTTTCTATTTAACATCGTTCTTTCACTCAAAGGCTTTTTCTTTCTTTAATCCTCTCTTTCACTTACCCTCTCTTTCACTTACCCTCTCTTTCACTTACCCTCTCTTTCACTTACTTTTTTTTTCTCTCCCTATCTTTCTCAGCCACTGTTTAACCTCCCACTCAAAATCTATTTCTCCTCACCTTGCATTCTCTCTTCTTCAGTATCAGACACAACCACCCACACATATTGTTTCGCAGTCTCCTGCGCACCCTCTATCAACATATCTACCTATCAATCTCCACCCGTTTTAATAACCAACCCCATCTTACTTCCCATTCCTCGTTTAAGTCGAGCCCCGATCAACTTTATCGACACATATGCATTAATACCTGCAAAACATTCCTATTCACACAAACACACACACTGATGCGGACGTCTACGTATAGATTTAACA